GTACAAACATTACTGAAGTGATTGTTTTAAACAAGTATTAACTTAAATATATTACTTTAGCTAAAGCATTTGTATCAATACTGCCTCGCCAGCTCATAAATGCATGATTTTTAAACAGGAAACACAATATTTTTCCTATAATCATACACTATATGGTAAAAGCAGATTTTTTGTGCCATCCGAATATCCAGAGATTTGACTAATATGATTTGACATTAACCCCCGTCACATGACGCCCGTCTCTTTGATGGAGACGGTTCCCATGGTAACAGCAGCGTGGTGATGTCATCAGTGAATTTGTGAATGGAGACCAAGAGCTGAAATAACCTGCGCTGATGATGATGATATATATATATATATGCTGCTCTCCTGGAGGTAAAAGAGCAAAGTGAACAGACACTGATGGACATGACTGGAGAGAACCAGTCTGTTTCTGTGATTCAATCAAGACTTATTCTATAAGAAATCAAAGATGAATATTTTAAAACTCAAACCTACATGGCAATGCTTCACCTCAAATACACAAAAACACTAACAAGCTACGCTCAAAACACCTTTTAGGTACTTAAATCAATGCAAAGAGTAAACATGAATGTAAATGGTTAAATATATGCAAGGATGGCAAGACTCATGGCGCATCAGTATGCAAATATAGCATCATCAAGGCCTGTTTTTGAATATTGAATATTAATTACAAGTCAGAGAGATTTTAAACTTCAGTGTTAAATTGCTGTAAAAGTATTACATTTTAAAATTAACAATCAATGATTCATATCCACCAAACAAAGTGTGAATGGAGTCTGTATGTTAAGCATTGGAGCAAATTAATTAATTAAGTTTTGTATACTTGGCGATAGAGGAGCAGAATGTTTGAGGCACATTGCAAAACAAACACTGAAAATATGTGAGAACTCTCGAAAACATAATTATTTAATTTATAGTAAATACTATAGTGTTTTTGAACCTTACTATAGTAAAGTGTATTATACTGTGTATATATTATAGTATTTACAAACACTTTGTTAATGAATGCTACAGCATACTGTAGTATGAACTATAGTGAACTGATAAACTATAATAAATACTGTAGCATACTTGTACTTGTACTACAGTAAACTGTAGTGTATTGTAGTATACTATACCCTATAGTTGTAGAAAACCTAACACAGTATTGGGTAAAGTCATTTGTTTATATTACTATAGCTGTACTATTACCACAGCAACTATAGAATGTACTATTACCACAACAAATTAATTCAAGTACTTTAGGCTACTATAGTAAGGTTCAAAAACACTATAGTATTTACTATAAATCACTACAGTATTTTTTCAGGCGAAAGGTGAACCAACTCAGGGGCTGCTTTGGGACTGATGGTGCGTTCAGTTCATGTCGATCAGATCGTATTTTAGTGTTGGGTCGTTCTTGAACGATTCGTTCATTTTGAACGAATCTTTAATGTGACTCGGGAAGAACGAGTCGTCTCGGGGAATGATTCGTTAAGTCGCGCATGCGCAACCTCCTAAAGGTTCTGTACTGGAATTAGTCAAGTAGTTCACCTGTTTCGAGTCGTTCGTTCATCACGTGACAGCCCCATAAGCTTACCCTATGCAGTCTGAGCCGGAAAGAGACTTAATAATAATAACCAACTCTTTATTACCTTTGTTACAACATTCAGTGTTATGGAAAATAACCATCATGACAGACACACATTTATAAAATGTAAGAAGTAAAAAGCTACAATTTGAGACCAGAAACGCATCACGTAACTGTAAGAGTAAATAGTAATTATAATAATGATAATAATAATATGCACCCGTTTGTAAGGAAGCTTGTAAATTAACTAATTTCTCTATCCAATGCTGTCACGTCACGTGACAAAAGAACGAACGATTCGAAAGACTCAAGAAATGAACTAATCAATTCTCTTTCCGGCTCAGACTGCTTTAGTTAAGTTTACGGGGCTGTCACGTGATGAACGAACGACTCAAACCCGAAGACTTGTCAGATAAGAAGTGAGCTAATCATAGACTGAGGACCCAGGTAAACAATTAATAAATCTTTTCTGTTTCTTATAGCAGTTTTGTATTGTTTGTAGTGTGATCAACGTTTGCGTAAGTAGTAGACGTGTTAGGGAAGTAACACGTAACATTTTAATTATATTTTGCTGAAATGAACGAAATGACTCAAAAAAAGATTTGTTCATTTTGCTGAACGAGACTCAAAGGTCCGAGTCGGTAAAATGATCCGAATTTCCCATCACTATCGTATTTACGAGCTAAATGCACAAGAACGCCAGCACAAAGTCGTAATCAAAGTCGTAAAGCAAACGATCTGTATGAGTTGGGGGCGTGTCAATGACTACGTTTACATGGACATCAGTAATCTAATTATTTACCTTATTCTAAATAAGACAATATTACGATTAAGGTGTTTACATGAGTTGATTTTAGAATATTCCTTTCATGTTCCCATTTTACATGTTATAGTCAAGCGGCAACCTCCCGCTCTCTCTCGTGAAGCCAACACGGAAGTGACTTAAACTGTAATTCATCGACTGGCCGCTAGAGGCTGGCTGCTAAAGGGAGTCAATCCCATAGACTCCCCATGTTAAAATGCCCAACTTTACAGCAGAAAAAAACATGTTTACAGCCTGGTTCAAAAAATTATTTTGGTCTATATAGCTAATTTTGCCCTTCATGACGACTGTGAGGGGGTTGAATGTTTTAATAACTCATCCGTTTAAATTATATTAAGCCTTAAATTTCTGCATAATTAAGGGCGTGGCCACTTGGGTGACAGGTGAATTGCCGGTGCTGTCACCACCGTCGAGCTAGGTGGGCGTGGTTTCAGCAACCTGCTCCCGCCTCTTTGCACATTTTCGATTATCCGGGAGTGACGCGCGGTGACACACTGCCAAGATGACGATGGCCCGCTCCGCCCACTTTGAGCTTCAAAAACGCTCTTCGGAACTCTTCGGGTGACGTCACGGACACTACGTCCATGTTTTTATACAGTCTATGTTTATAGTACATAATTCGATTAATGGCCCACGTCACTACGTCACCACACGACGCCATCCGACGTCCCCTCTGGAATTTCACGTATAAACATATAGTTCGTCTTCGTTATGATGCCATATACAGTTTTGGGTGTTTAATTTTTAATTTACTGAAAACTTCAAGTGCAGTTTTGCAGCTATACATGCAAACAGACGACGGCGTTGTTGAAGCCATTCGTTTGTTTGCCGTCAAACGGTTAAGCACGGCCGTGTGTGTATCCTGTCGCAAAATGCGGCGAAAAGTCCTACACGACGGTAATAATGTTATTAATGAGTTTACATGTCTTTACTGCACTTCAGTAATGCGACTAAAATAAGAATACGCCACATGTCTTAATCCGATTAGTGTTTACTTCGATTATAACTTTAGCCGGATTAAGGTAATCGAAAAATCTTTGTTTACATGGTAGATTCATAATTACAGTATTGTCTTAATCGTATTAAAACCGGCGTATTGTTGTCCATGTAAACATACTGAGAAACTTGGCAGAATCGATGTATGCAACGATATTCTACAATACTTATAGGTATTAAGCAGTGACTTTGTCATGCTTTTTTATTTACAAAAATTTAATTGAATAAAATATGACAGAATTGTAATATAACAATGCTGTCAAACGATTAATCGCGATTAATTGCATCCAAAATCAAAGTTTTTGTTTACATAATATATGTGTGTGTACTGTGTATATTTATTATGTATATATAAATACACACACATGTATGTATGCATTTAAGAAAAATATGTTACGTTTATATATTAAATATATTTATATATGATATAATTTATATGAATATAAATATATGCATGTACATACATGTAAATATTTTCAAAATATATGCTGTATGTGTGTGTCTAATAATAAAAAAACATTGTACGTTACTAATTATAACTCTTTAATTTCCACAGTTATTCAAACAGTGAATGAATGATAGCAGAAAGCGAGCAAAGACAAGAGCACTCTCAAAAACTCTCGTTATAATCACTGAAGCTGTCTACTGTGAAATTAACTTCTTAGGCCTGCTTACATCGTATGTACTGCACTTTGTTGTTTATAGTGAGAGAATCGCAAGAGTGCAGAAGAAAAATGGCATTTCAGCGATGACTCATCTGAACGCCTCTGATTGGCCATTGCATACAAAGCGCAACAGAATCACGTGATTGGTTATAGCATCCAAACGCATAAATAGAAATATGATGCAATATAAGCAGATCTTAACTTAATGCCACAAAAGACACTTTTCATTTCATTTTCAATTGATTTACAGTCAGCCATGATAGATTTAGTTTAACTGTGCATGGGGCAAATTTGGCCCATGTCCCCGTTAATTTCCCACCCCTGGCCTATGCCTTTCACTCCGCTTTGATTCTTCCTGCAAATTACGTCGTTCCGCCAATAGGTGGCGACAAGCGACTGTCTCTCATTTCATGAGTCATTTGAATCGTTTACACAACCGAATAATTCCAAACTACCGATTTATTCAGAAGCATAACTATCCTGTGGAAAACCCCAAATTTGCCACTTTCACTTATTTATCTGAATATTAGCGTTGACGAATCACCCTCATTTACAGCTCTGTTTTGGACAATAGCTACGTCAATATTATTAAAGACTAGAAAATATTACGGGTATTTTGAACCCCTTTATGAAGACTTGGGGTACCGAAACAACAATTCTGAAATTCTGAAACCTAAACAATTGGCTATATGTTGAGGAAACATAAATATTCTTACTGATGGTTACTGATGATTTTGGATCTCCCTCTGGGGGAACACGCAGTACGCATGCGCGTAGTACAAACGCCTGACTGAGTAGTGTGACATATACTACGCGCATGCGCAGTGCCGTCGGCGTTTCGGGGGGCGTTGCTGGCGTGCGGCAGAGGGGCGGGGCGAAGGTGGGTGTGTGGCTCAGCTGATACTGACTATCATCATTATCATCCTCCTCCTCCTCATCATCATCACCCGAGACCTGCTCCTGACAAGATACACGCCGCTCGGCGACGCGACCGGCTCGGTGAATGAACGCGGCTGACGCGACGCGCGTCGCTGTCCGCGGTGCTGAAACAGTGAGTACGATCGCAGTCATGTGGATTCATACGCGAAACGACAGCGCTGTCGAATTGTAAAGCGACTGATTATAGAAGAATAGAAAGAGAGAGAGAAGCTCCACTATCACTGCGACTGGAAGTAAACCAGTGAACGGATCTCCATTCTCTCTCGCAGATAAAGCAGCGAGGACGCATTATGTAATGCACTGATAGTGGGAAGGAGGGGAAAAAGCAACCCATCTCCTGGTTTCCATCTTCATGGTGCGTCTTTGTTTGTGTGGAGAGCAGAAAATGGAGAGTGTATCTATATTAAAACGCAGTGTTTTGATGCTCAAAGGGATCCGCGCTTTCAGAAGGTGCTGCAGATCTCCATTCAGATGTTGGATAACAACAGCGCATGCAATCTTTTGTGCAGACGCACAGGCTCAGGGTTTGGAGAGAGTTGGTCATCTGAGGTTTCAGATGATCGTACAACTTGTTGTGCATTCGTTTGCGTGAAGGTTAGTGGCCTTGTGGAGCCAATAAAAGTTTAACTATGTCTTACCTTACACTCAAAGCCACACACACTCACCTCGTGGCCCATAACAAGCCGAGGTGCCAATGCAAATGTGTGTGAGATGTGCAAGTGCGAGAACAGATGAGGTAATGGCAAAGCACTGGAGTGTGAACCCTCTGTTGGCCGCGCATGGTGCTGCAGCTCGTTGTGAGATCAAACAGCTTCAGTCTTTCATGGTGTGTTTTCATGCACATGGATGTCACGTTACCGGTGTCAAACACAAGCTTGGCTCAATCTGGCTGCTGCTCACATGATGCTGATGCTTGCATACGGTCGCTGTAACACAGTTAGGTTTGGTTCTAGTAAGTGCATTTGTTTATGTTGGGGATCATGCACAAATTCACAACTGTTAATGCACTGAAGCTCTCCATTGTTTTGCTGATGTCTCACCTACATCTCTTAAACCTTTCTAAGCAATGTGCGATGCTACTGCCTGTGTTTTTGAATATAAAGTTGATAATCAAATAATTCCTATTACTATCAGACTACTTGCATATTTGTACACTACTATTTAAGGTTTGGGGTTGATAGGAGCTTTCAATAGTTCTGAAAGAATTCTCTTCTGCTGACAAAGGCTTCATTTGTTTGATCAAATCTGTAATATTGTGAAATACTATTACAGCTTCAAAAACTATTTTCTATGTGTATATATTGTAAAATGTAATTTATTCCTCTGATCAAATCTGAATTTTCAGCATCAATAGAAATAGGGTTAGTAAGATTTAAAAAGACAAAATAATAAATTTGATATTTATATTCAGAAAAGATGCATTAAATTGATCAAAAGTGAGAGTAAAGACATTTATAATGTTGCAAAAGATTTCTATTCCAAATAAATGCTGAAAAATAAAATGTATCACAGTTTCCACAAAAATATTGTGCAGCACGACTGTTTTCAACATTGATAATAATCAGAAATGTTTCTCGAGCAGCAGATCAGCATATTATACTGATTTCTGAAGATCATGTGACACTGAAGACTGGAGTAATGATGCTGAAAATACAGCTGCACATCACAGAAATACATTACAGTTTAACACATATTCACATAGAAAACAGCTGTTTTACATTTTAATAATATTTCACATTTTGTACTGTATTGCTAATCAAATAAATGCAGCCTTGCTGAGCAGAACAGACTTCTTTCAAAAACATTAATTCAAAAATATCTTACCAACCCCAAACCTTTGAACACTACTAGTGTACAAATATGCAAGTAGTTTGATCCTAAATTAATCAGAAGTGACAGAAAAGACATTTATAATGTTACAAAAGATTTCTATTTCAAATAAATGCTCTTCTTTTGAACTTTCTATTCGTCTGTGAATCCTGGAAAATAACATGTATCACAGTCTCCACAAAAATATGAAGCAGCACGACATCGCTAATGTTGAAAATCAGCGTATTATTGATGATTCCCGAAGCATCGTGTTTATTTTTCAGGATTCTTTGATGAGTAAGTTCAAAATAACAGCATTTATTTGAAATAGAATCTTCTGGTTTCACAGACAGGGCTTCGACTAAGCCAGGATTAGGCTCAATTAGGACATTTAAGTAATTTTTATTAACATGTCTTAGAACAAAAACATTACTGGTGTGCATCTTGAGACAAAACAAAGGCACTGATGTATTTTAAGATCAGATTTAGATAATCTCTTCACAATCAGGCCCCACAGTACTTAACTGATCTGTTACAGCCTTAAACTCAGTCGAGATCACTCAGATCTACTAATTCTGATCTGTTGCAAGTGCCTAGAACAAGACTAAAAACCAGAGGTGATCGTGCTGGCCCAAAACTATGAAATAGTCTCCCGTCTCACATCAGAACTGCCCCGACCTTGTCTGTTTTTAAGACCTATATATTTTCTTTGGCATTTAATATCCCTTGATTCTGTTCTTAGGAACTTCGGCCCATGTTTACAGTTTTATTGTGTTTTATAATTGTATTTTTTGTTGCGGTGTGTTTTAATTGGTCATTGTTTGTATAGTGTTATAAAGCACTTTGGTCAGCTTCGGTTGCTTTTAAATTGTGCTACATAAATAAAATTGTATTGTATTGTTTCTTCAGTTGAAAAGGCTCAGAATTGCATTTTAGTCTGGGACTAGGCTTAAGCCTTATCTGTGAAACTGGGGGTAAATGTCTATGTTTCTGATTACAGTTTTTCTCGATTGCTAATGTAACGGAGGCCAGCGGTAGGTGCTGTGAAGGTAAATCTCACTCCCCTGATCTCAAGATGCACACTAGTGACTGACGCTAGAGGCAGTCTTTAGTGTCCACCTCCCACGCCGGAGACCCGAGTTCGAGACCCACTCGGAACAAGTATGAGGTGTGGCGGTGAGGACCTGGGAGAGAGGGGTTACATTGGTGCCGTGACCCGGATGGGAGTGAGGGTTAGGTGGGTGAGTGTAACAGAGGCCAGCGGTAGGTGCTGTGCAGGTAACCCTCACTCTCAAGATACACACTAGCAGCTGATGCTAAAGGCGGTCTTTAGTTTTTGTTAGTGCGTCTGCCTCCCACGCTGAAGACCCAGGTTCGAGACCCACTCGGAGCGAGAACGAGGCGTGGCGGTGAGGACCCGGGAGAGAGGGGTTACATTGGTGCCGTGACCCGGATGGGAGTGAGGGTTAGGTGGGTGAGTGTAACAGAGGCCAGCGGTAGGTGCTGTGCAGGGAAACCTCACTCTCAAGATACACACTAGCAGCTGATGCTAAAGGCAGTCTTTAGTCTTTGTTAGTGCGTCCGCCTCCCACGCCGAAGACCCGAGTTCGAGACCCACTCGGAGCGAGAACGAGGCGTGGCGGTGAGGACCCGGGAGAGAGGGGTTACATTGGTGCCGTGACCCGGATGGGAGTGAGGGTTAGGTGGGTGAGTGTAACAGAGGCCAGCGGTAGGTGCTGTGCAGGGAAACCTCACTCTCAAGATACACACTAGCAGCTGATGCTAAAGGCAGTCTTTAGTCTTTGTTAGTGCGTCCGCCTCCCACGCCGAAGACCCGAGTTCGAGACCCACTCGGAGCGAGAACGAGGCGTGGCGGTGAGGACCCGGGAGAGAGGGGTTACACTAACACACTATAACTGATTCATTTGGCACAATTTTCCAAACCATTCATACAATTCTCGAAACAAAGACACGTTTCTCAAAACTTTTACCACAATTCACTCATGCTCCAATTTGCTCAGTGTTTTCTGCAAAACTCTACACAAGAACGGCATACTTCTGCATTTAGAAAGCACAAACACACAATATATAACTACCTCAAGAATCACAAAATGAACACAAATAGCACACATTTATCCCTGTGTGAACATTAAGTACACATCACATACACATCACAATTACAGTGCATTGTAGCAGTACTTCAGACGAGAGAACTTTCACTGTTCTTTGTACTGTAAATACTGTAACACACAGCCTCAAACTCATAACCGTTGAATTGATTTGTAGCCATACTGTATTTGTGCAGAACTGAGAGTCGACTATTTAGGGGAGGCAGAAAAATTATTTTGTCAGAAGACTAAGAAACTGCTATAGTATAACAAATAAGGATATTACCAATACGGTAATGCAGCTTGGCAGAGGATGCTGTATTTATTTATTTACAGTAACTGACAGTACAGTATATTCCAATGTGTGTTTACTGTATATTCAGTTGTTTGGTTTTTGAACTGTTCACTTCTGGTGCTTTTCATCTACTTTACAGTAGTTTACTGTAATGAAAGTAAAGTTTATTGCTGAATTTTACTGTATCTGCACCGCTCTATTTATGCTGCATACTGTATCAGTCATTGACTAGCAAAAGGAATTCTGTTTCCCAAAAGTAGGTTTTTGTAACAGTGTTTTGAACTGACCCCACTACTGTTCTCTAGGCAGGAAAATAGTCTGTGTGTGTGCCATCTGAGGCCAAAGAGAGAATGTGTTTTTGACTAAACTGTTTGATTTTGACCTAGAAGTTTGAAGCTTGCACAAGTTGGTGTGTAGTTTTAAGATTCTGTTTATAGTTATAGTAAATGGGGAATTGTTAGTTAGTTTAGTTTATTGTCCTTTCTGAATTTTTTTTGTATCTGTGGCAACTGTTCAGTGATCAACAACAATAATTAACAAATACAAACATCAACAGGTTACAAGACATTACAAATAAATACAACCAGCATCAAACAACATCCACAGAGTCTGTGATATCACAAAAAATGTATTTAACTGAGCTATACTGCAGTCCGTAATAATGTACCCTGTAGCTTTGACCAGATGGTAATAACTCATATTCACCACAAAGAGGATGAGATGCATCATGAAGAATTGCATGGCTTTTCCTCACAGCTCGAAATTCACATCATTTGATCAAACTATGCTGTTGTTTACCTGCAATCTTACTAGCCATATTAACAATTTTATTTAGATTGTTTCATGAATTGTATGTTAGCAAGCGAGAAAAGCTGTAATATGCATGAATCTCCATCCTCTGCTCTGACTGCAGTGTGTGTCTGGAGGTCGGGCAGCTGTGACGGCCCATGCCGAGGCTTGCGGCGCTGAGTGACGCTCTGGTTCCCCAGCATGGGCAGTGTAGGCAGCGGAGTGGCCGGTGAGCAGGAGTTTGCCATGAAGAGCGTGGGCACTCGCACCACTCTCCCTCGTGGCCCTCCTCTGTCCCGTCTCCACGCGCCTCCCTCCGCCTCGGACGGCCCCAGTGACAGCACCGCCACGGATCGAGGCCAACTCAACATCGCCTCGTCTCGGCCCAGCCACGGGGACAAGGCAGCGCACAGAACCAGAGGAGTGTCTCTGGATGCTTGCGGTAACGTGGTGGGTCACGGTGCGGAGAAGAACCACGAGGTAAAGGGCAGAGACGGGAACAACAGCAAGAGAGACAGTCGCACACCACCCAAGATCCTCACTGTGTCCGGCAAACTCGAGCAGGTCCGACTGACGCAGCTCTGCTAATGTTACTGCATTAAAGGGTTGACATAACTTTTACATGTTATGTGAACTAAAATGTGTGTTGGCAGTGTGTGTACACATCCACCCTATAAAAGGGTACCAACTTTTTAATTACAAACTTTTAAGTTCAGATGGGGGGTTCGATCTCGATTCAGTATCAATTCATATGTATAAACTGTACATATAAGGGGATAAAATCTTTTGTTGAATGCAGATGAATGCCTTTTTTTTAGCACCGTTTTAAACTTGGGTTAAATTCAGTATTTGCTTGCAAATCATTGTGTGTACTTATACGAGTATCGTATAAAAAAGGATGTAAGTTATTCACTTTTCAAATTTTTACATTTAAGCATTACTAATGAACATGATTTTTTTGAACACCTTTGCATCGGAATTTAAAACCCTTTTCTCTGTTTTAACCTTAAATACTACACTAATTGTAATATAAGTAATAGAAATATCAGAATTTTTTTTTTTATCTAGACAGACAGACAGACAAATAGACAGACAGATAGATAGACAGACAGACAGACAGACAGACAGATAGATAGACAGACAGACAGACAGACAGACAGATAGACAGAGAGAGAGAGATGATAGACAGACAGGCAGATGATAGACAGACAGATAGACAGACAGACAGACAGACAGACAGATAGATAGATAGATAGATAGATAGATAGATAGATAGATAGATAGATAGATAGATAGATAGATAGATAGATAGATAGATAGATAGATAGATAGATAGATAGATAGATAGATAGATAGATAGATAGATAGATAGATAGATAGATAGATAGATAGATAGATAGATAGATAGATAGATAGATAGATAGATAGATAGATAGATAGATAGATAGATAGATAGATAGATAGATAGATAGATAGATAGATAGATAGATAGATAGATAGATAGATAGATAGATAGATAGATAGATAGATAGATAGATAGATAGATAGATAGATAGATAGATAGATAGATAGATAGATAGATAGATAGATAGATAGATAGATAGATAGATAGATAGATAGATAGATAGATAGATAGATAGATAGATAGATAGATAGATAGATAGATAGATAGATAGATAGATAGATAGATAGATAGATAGATAGATAGATAGATAGATAGATAGATAGATAGATAGATAGATAGATAGATAGATAGATAGATAGATAGATAGATAGATAGATAGATAGATAGATAGATAGATAGATAGATAGATAGATAGATAGATAGATAGATAGATAGATAGATAGATAGATAGACAGACAGACAGACAGATAGACAGACAGACAGGTAGATAGATAGATAGACAGACAGACAGACAGATAGACAGGTAGATAGATAGATTACATAATTAATGAAGGTTATTTAATTATGTATTATTGTAAGAACCTGCTTTGTTTTCCTCCTTTCAGAATAATTCTGCTCTGGTCCGGCCGTCTGCCTTCAAACCCGTGGTGCCCAAGAGTTTTCACTCCATGCAGAACCTGCTGGGTCAGTCCAATGGAGGACGATCTGCTTGCTCCGACGCTCCGCAGTCCCTCTGTGAGCAGGACAGTCCGGATCGGGACCCTTCGGCTGGAAACGACGGTCCAACCGGCATGACCGACTCCGGGAGGAACTCGCTGACCAGCCTGCCCACCATGAGCTACGGCCCCGCTCAAGCGCTGGGGCCCCTCAGCGCCTCCACCAGTCACATCAACAGACTGAGCAGCACAGCGGCACCGCTGGAGAAACCAGACAAACCCAGCTATCAGAACGGCCTGAGCGTGTCCGACAGCGGACAGTCCTCCTCCGGGAAGAGCTGCTTGTCCTATCAGAGACTCTGTCAGACCACCGTCCAGCCGTCGCCCTCCACCGACGACATTATCCAGGACCTGGAGGACCGACTCTGGGAGAAAGAGCAGGAGGTGAGGAGCACATACAGGCCCTTAAATATGTGACCCTGGAGCACAAAAGCAGTGTTAAGTCGCTGGGGTATATTTGTAGCAATAGCCAACAATACATTGTATGGGTCAAAATTATCGAATTTCCTTTTATGCCAAAAATCATTAGGATATTCATCCTTCTGTCTCTGATTGATAGTCAGTGTTGGGGAGTAACTAATTACATGTAACAGAATTACGTAATTTGGTCCCACTTTATATTAGGTGCCCTTAACTACTATGTACTTACATTAAAAAATAAGTACAGTGTATTTATTGTGTTCATATTATATGGCAAAACACGTTTGCTGCTATTGAGGTGGGATATAGGTAAGGCTAGGAACAGGTTTGGTAGTATGGGTAGGTTTAAGGGTGGGTTAAGGTGTAAGGGATGGGTCAACAGTGTATTTATAAATGTAATAACAGAAATTCATTACAGATGTAATTACATACAGTTTTAAAAATAAAGGTGCTTCACGATGCCATAGAAGAACCTTTTTTGTCTAACTAGTTCCATAAAGAACCTTTAACATCTGTTTCACAAAAGCTTCTTTGTGACGAAAGAAGGTTCCTCAGATTATAAAAAGCAAGGGCATAACTTTCCCTCCAGCCAAGTCATTTCCCAATATGAAGTCTACTCCTTTCACAGGAAGGGAAATACAAACTGCAACTCGAACAAACCCAGTACACAAATCACTTTGTAAATGTACATTATGCAAAGGCACTTTTACACATCCCATGGTATATTTGTAGCAATAGCCAACAATACATTGTATGGGTCAAAATTATCGAATTTCCTTTTATGCCAAAAATCATTAGGATATTCATCCTTCTGTCTCTGATTGATAGTCAGTGTTGGGGAGTAACTAATTACATGTAACAGAATTACGTAATTTAATTACAAAATAAATGTAAGTGCAATCTGTAACAGTTACTGAGAAAAAAAGTGTAATTAAATTAGCCTACAGTTACTTATGAAAATGTTAACAATTACAAAGGGGGTTTTCACACAAACACGCACATACAGATTTGATTCATTTATTTCTTAATTGCAGTGACTGCTCTAAAATACGAAGCACCAATGTTTCAGGAGTTTAGAATACAGAATAAGATGCATGCTTATTCGATAACACTAATTACATGTAACAGAATTACGTAATTTGGTCCCACTTTATATTAGGTGCCCTTAACTACTATGTACTTACATTAAAAAATAAGTACAGTGTATTTATTGTGTTCATATTATATGGCAAAACACGTTTGCTGCTATTGAGGTGGGATATAGGTAAGGCTAGGAACAGGTTTGGTAGTATGGGTAGGTTTAAGGGTGGGTTAAGGTGTAAGGGATGGGTCAACAGTGTATTTATAAATGTAATAACAGAAATTCATTACAGATGTAATTACATACAGTTTTAAAAATAAAGGTGCTTCACGATGCCATAGAAGAACCTTTTTTGTCTAACTAGTTCCATAAAGAACCTTTAACATCTGTTTCACAAAAGCTTCTTTGTGACGAAAGAAGGTTCCTCAGATTATAAAAAGCAAGGGCATAACTTTCCCTCCAGCCAAGTCATTTCCCAATATGAAGTCTACTCCTTTCACAGGAAGGGAAATACAAACTGCAACTCGAACAAACCCAGTACACAAATCACTTTGTAAATGTACATTATGCAAAGGCACTTTTACACATCCCATCTCAATACCTTGTACAATTACACTGGAGCTACAAGAAGTGTCATCAGAAAACTGCAACTTATCCTCCACCACAAAAGATTGCATCGAACCAGTATCCCGAAGCATCGTAATTTCCTTTTGCTCATCAGCATTTCCAGAAAAAGAAATCAGACCTTTAAGAAGAAATGGTCGATACGTTTCTTCGACTTCGTCACCAGAGTAAACAACAGCAGTAGGTTTAAGAGTTTTCACAAAGCCTACTGACTTCGATGGTGATTGTTGTTTTCGTTTCAACAATGAACAATCCACAACAATATGTCCTCTTTTATGACAATAAAAACACTCGCGATCCTCTTTACCTCGCGGTGAATTAACTTTTGAGCGCACAAACAGCACTCCAGGAACATCAACAATCGGTTGCGAATTTTCTGAACGTATATGTGCGAAAACATTTTTGTGAGTTAAAATGAATTCGTCAGCTAGCACAGCGGCATATGACATCGAAGTTACCTTTTGTTCATTCAGGTAAACTACCACTTTCTCAGGCAAGCAATTTTTAAATTCTTCAAGTAAAACTAGCTCCCGCAACGAATTAAAATCAGTCACTTTGTTTGCGGTGCACCACTTGTCAAAGAGTGTACCTTTATCTCGAGCAAATTCCACAAACGTCTGGCTAGAAGTTTTCTTATAAGCTCTAAACTTCTGCCTATATGCTTCAGGTACTAATTCATAAGCACAAAGTATTGCAGACTTTACAGAATCATACTTCAGACTCTCTTCAACTGATAATGTAGAATAAACTTCTAAAGCCTTACCTACCAATTTACTTTGAAGTAACAATGACCAAACTTCACTCGGCCAACGAAGTGACGTAGCAATCCGCTCAAAAGCATTAAAATATGAATCTATTTCGGATTCTCTGAATTGAGGAACAAGAGCAATGTGCTTACTCACGTCAAAGTTGTAGTGGCATGACTCAGCCACCGGAGAAGCAACAGATACAGGAGCTGGGCCTGGCCGTACAACAGGCTCTCTAGCAGCCTTCGTAGCGTCAAGTTCGAGCTGGCGCAGCCTCACCTGCGTATCAGCCTCGATTTCAAACCTGCGTATCTGCAAACGTAGATCAATTTCAGCCCGACGTGTCTGAGTATGCTCCTGCGCATCATAATGGAGACGAGCCAAGCGAACGTTCAGTCGCGCATCGTCTCTGGAACCCAAAGAAAGAGGAGATAACGGATCAAATGGTGGCAAGCCAGCTTTCGCATCCGCTTCGGCCTCCACCTCCGCTTCTACGTTTGTTCTGCCACTACATACGTCCGCATCTCCCAAACTGAAAGAAGCCACTGCCACGTCACTAGGGCTTAACAGATCGGCATTTTCATCCCTCACAACTCTTGACGTCAGAAGAACATTTAGCTCGACTAACTGATCTATTATCCTACACTTTAACTCAGCCTTACGATTCTGTCTACTGACTGTCAAACTAAAATGGTCAGCTATTGCAAACAAATCCTGTTTCCGACACAAGTTAAGCTGTTCCAATGAAGGACTCTTAACAAATTCTTCTAAACTGAACATGTTTCAAGTGCACCACGAACATAACTACCTTAAAAAAAACACTACTCGCTGCCTTTTACCTCATTTCACAACTACTAAAAATCAACAATTCCATTTGCCACCACCCTAACCTCTCTCAACATGTCAATTTATATCAAGGGCATAATTACCAACTTTTCTTTCCTAAACATGGAGAATTTTTTTTTAATAAAATATATCCCGGATGAGCCCCCATTTAATGTTACGTCTCTGATGATAATTTTTATCTAGGGATTAGAAGAGGTAACATTAAGTTGACATTAAAGAATGAAGCCAGGTAAAATAAGTGGCAATGGAACACATGACACAAAACTGCACTACAAGAAAGATTTATTGCCCCCCCCCAAGGAACAACGAGTTAAATAAATAAGACAAAGGAAAAAGAAGGGAAGTTAAAGTGGCGCTTAAATAATAAAATAAAATGGTTAAAAATCCCATTATCTAACTAAATCCCAAAACCCCTAAACTATTAAAGAAAAGAAAAGAAAAATCTTCAACGCAAAAGCGTCATAAACTACACTGAATATACAAGATCAAAACATACAAGAAAAGCGCACACAAATAAACTAGTGTGTCTATACATCCAATATCCCTACGTGCAGGTATGTAGGTCACGTGACTTCCTAAACTCTTCCACTCCTTCCTTGTCTTCCAAACTAGCGGCGATCTGACAAAGACATCCGAACACACAGCGTCATAGCATCACCTGCCGTTAAAACCCAAGAGCGCAACACAAACACATTCCACGAGTGCACACAACAGTCACAATACAAAACGTTACCCCCGTCTTCCCGCTGACGTTCTCCTTTTGAACCTCTCGGACAAGAACGCCATTGGCAAAGGGAATGCGTTGTCAATTAACTGATGATGAATGACAGCACAGATAGCCAATAGAATCCAAGGAAGGCGGTACCTAAGAGCATGAGAGTGAGAACAGAGAAGAGACTAAAA